ATGGATGCTATCATGTTTTTCTACGGCATGGGCACGATGACAGCATACCTCATTTTAGAAGGAGACTTTTTACCAGCTCTCTTCGCTTGGATCGGCGTCAGCGTCCCCCGTACATTCTGCATCTTCCTGGTTGCCATCGTGGCCATCCCTCTCGTGCTGCCCGAGAAACTGTCTGTTCTTCGCCATGTAACGCCTATATCGACTCTGGCCCTTATCTTTACTGCTATCTGCACCCTCATTCAAGCTCCAGGGCGAGCAGAGAGTCTTCCTGAGGATCTCACGGTTAACCTGGCTGTTTTCGGATGGCCTCTTCTGAAGTGCTTGACTATTACTCTTTTCGCATATATTTGCCACACTAATGTGGTTCCCGTGGCCAACGAGCTGATCGACCCCACGCCCAAGAGGTGCTTCAAAGTTAGTTTCAGAGTGGCAGTGCTGCAGCTGGGCTTCTATATTCTAATCGGTGTATCTGGTTACCTCAGTTTCTTGAGCACTACTCATCAAAATTACATCACGAACTACTCTCACGACGATGTTCTCATTAACCTCTGTCGTTTGGCCCTCGCCCTCAGTCTGATGTGCTCTATTCCGATCAACACCAATCCGACGGCGAGAGCCGCTGTGCATTTCATCTCCTCGATGAAGGAGGTATCGGCAGCACAAAATGAGCCTCTTCTTGATCAGCGCGAAAGGTTACCGTCGTCCCTCCGTTGTGAGAGTCGAAGCGAGAAGATTCTTCGTATTTCGATTTCCCTGATTCTTCTCGTGGTGACCTTGACCATTGCCATATTGGTGCCTGGCATCGCTGATGTTGTATCCCTCTTGGGCGGTTCCTTGGGAACTCTACTGCTCGTCACTTGCCCTTGCATTATCTTCGTAAAGGTGATGAAGAAGGAATCGTCACGACTTACAGGAAGGGTCATTGTTTGGACTCTTTCCATTTTCACTGTTATTGCGATGTTTGCTGTATGTTTAATGATTACCAACGCCGTAGGTTTGACACATATTCCTCTCGCGGCACAATAAATATGTCTTCTATAAATGTTGTTTTCTGTTTTCTTGGTAATGTCCTCACCCATCGCATTCGTTCTTATTCAGTCTCTCTACTACTGAAACGTCTCTGTGGGCTCGTGCCTATGCCTTCCTGTATATATAGTTGTTGTTCATCGCTCCACTTCGTTGAATCTTTTCCAGTCGGTCGAGTTGTACTGATTGTTCTTGAATTCTTGAATGTCAAAAAGGGTTTGCGTGCAAGTTCTTCGAGCCAAAGAAACCAATACTATCCGTGTTAAGACATGTGATGGTTGGGGAGTAGCCGATTAGCCGACCCGAGTCACCCGTGCGGATTCAACCAGGCAATCGAATCTGGGAGCAATACACATATGATTTCGGCAAGCCAAGTAGCACCGTCACATTAGTGCAAAATGTATGAGGAGGCATCTGGTATCATATAAAGAGTCTTTCGTAACGTGTATGTATTTCCCGCGTCGTACTTGCGTCGCAGGTTTTATTTTCTCCTTAGCCCCCTCTTTCGAGATGAATCACTCGCCTGAGACAGCTCGTGGGCAAACCTGTGGAGGTCGGCCTCGACTCGGTCGGCCCGAAGTGGGAGTTCAAATTTATTTTTTCCACCGGAACCTGTATTCAGGGTCTGCTCTCCTGTTTACCATATCAC